ACAACATAAGATCTCATTACTTTGTATTTTCATGTGTTTGAAAACTCAGAAGAATATGAAAACATTAAAAAGTAGGAATAAATACAATGCATTATATTCATGGTGTAAAGAGAAATGCTGCTAGTTTGTGAACTTTAACATTTATTATAAGTGTAACTTGAATTAAAAATAACATCAATTTGAAGATATTTCAGACGAAATATATGAAATCTTTATATAATCGAGAACGACTGTATACGAGTATCTCTCCGTATTGTATACGAAGATACACGATTCTTTATGTCAAAATACGCAGGTGGTAAATGGACTTAGTAAACGATTACATTTAGGTCCGTGTAGGATCATACTTCTTCGTAAACCGAATGGAATAATACGATAGTAATACCGAGCCAAGTAATACACCAAAAAACAATGATTTACAGTTCGTTGACGAGTGTGTTTGTTAAACCTGAGTTTTTAAATTAATTTTTGGATTATATTTTTATTTTGAATTTTTAAAATATAAAGTTTAATGATGTAAACTTATAAATGTATTCAAATAGGATAAATTTAGTTTAATTGTATATTAAAAATACACAATCTAAAATTAGGCTTTAATTAAATTAAAGCATCAAAAAATTTATTTATTTATTTTCAATTTAAACAATTTTTACTTTAATCTTGCATTCAAACGTTTTTTTCAATATAACTGACTATGCCTAATTAATAAAAACTAGAAAATATTCCTCCAAAAACCTAATATTTTTAAAAATTTATTTTGTTCAATATCATTTAAATAATTTTATATTCTATAATAGACGATTTTTTATTCCTATGAAAACTTCATAGAACATAGAATTATATCAAATAACACTTTAGAATGATTATAACTATGCAGAAATTGATTTTTTGATCGCATGGCTCATTTGTCTGAATGATAGTTAAGTGACATATTATAGGCATATTCGAATCTAATCTTTGTCGATACAAATTTGAATTGATACTAATCTGAACTAGACCAATAACAAGACTACAACCTATAATATGTAAGAATGATAACATCCTTCTTTTTTCAACTTCAAATCTTTTTTTGGACGACCATCACAGTGGCACGACATATCCAGTAATTGTCTCAAAAAAAGGACTAGTCCAAAAATTGAGAATACGATTTTGTCTTGATTTATCTATGCATAGTCATCGATGAATCATTTTTGCCTAATGAACTAGTCTTATCATGTTTCATGATGATCCAATGGGGTAACCAGAAATTTTTCCAAAAGGATGCCTGACACATTATGAGGAATGCATACCAGCAGTAAAATAAATTTTTGTTCCTCAAAAAGATTTTTTACTCATACCTCCTTCCAGATAGTCTTTGATCAAAGGAGATACTCGAGCAATCTGTGCATCCCTTGGCTGCGCGCCCCTATGATAACCGTCAACAACATTACTGAAACTGATGCTGATGATGCATAGAAATTTGAACTAGTCTTGTGTTAGTCTATTTTGAGACAAAGATTGGACAAATCGAACTCATATGACTAGAAGAAAAAAGTAAACATCTAAATCGGTCTTTGTTTACTTTTACACTAATGAATTTGACAAACTCAGGTTGAATGATCAACATCATGTAGACTCATTGATTTTAATTATAAAATGATTCAAGCATTTTTATCACTATCAGGAAAAAAAAATTCTATATTTACGTCTCATCATATTTGATAATAATGCATTGCATCTGTCGTCATAGTAAATTAAGCATCTTTTTTTTTACAACTATAATAGAACCTTTTCCTTGGTAATAATAAATGACATTCACTCTAAGAAACAAACATACATGCTTCAAGAGTAAAAAAACAGCAAAAGAACATGAGAAATGCGGAAATATAAGATGCATTGCGTGTAAAAAATATTGTGTATGTCAGGAATGACTAGTGTTCGGAAAAGAAAAAGCTAAGATGATGTCGTAACTAATCTTTTATTAATAGAAACTATTCATAAGAGAGAAAGAATTCCCAAAGAAATATTTTACAATTTATCATATGGAAAGAAAAACTATTTTCATTTTCAATGTATATAGAATAGTCTAGTGATCTAACTTACAAAGATATGATATGTTATAAAGAAAATATAAAAGATATTGGCCATGATTATGCTTTCTTTCACATCTCCAATTTCTATACAACAATTGGATCTGATGATATAAATTATTACGTATTGAAGAGTAACTTAACTTGCAATGAGTTCATTGTTTGCAAGTAAAATCCAATATTTCGAAAGTATAGTTAGTTATAATAGAAGTCTAAAATTTTATTCTAATCTTTATTGATAATTGTTTTCAACATTTTAGAACTTGAACAAACCAAAGTTTTTGTTTTTACATGCTTTACAAAAAACAAAATGTTCCTCGGGCAAAAATTTTAAACACATCAAATGACAGAACGATGTCAGTCATATACGATTTCAAATCAGTCGATCTCTTTTTTTTTTTCTTTAATGTTCTGTTTATATAGCGGAAAAAAGATTGGTAAACATTCATGCATACAAAAAAAAAGTAACAGAAAGAAGAAAATTTTATTTCGCTTACAACTTTTATTTTATGCTCATTTTCCTTGAAATGTTTCGTTTTAAAACTCTCACCTCGTTATTATTCTCGACAGCTGCAATACTTGTTTTTTTTGTTTTTTTTCTTCATGTTTTGGTTCCAACATATGAAGCTTCTGATAATATCGTTTATCGTTCAAATAAACGATTTAATCATATACGACTTTTATCACAAGATTGGGTAAAAGACCAAACAACGACAGTTTTTATATCAGCTGAGCCTAATCGACAAATTACGGAACCACTGATAAAATGTCGTGAAAATTTAGTAACTATTGAACAATATCGTTCACGATCAATTGTTCGTGGTGTTATTGTTCGTTTTCCATCAATTAATACTGAATATTATTTGGTACAATTTCGTTGGTTTTATAGAAGTTGGATTGAATCAGAAATGTTTACAGTTGATCGTTGGCGTACAGATATAATTATACTTATTGATGATAAATTTCCAAATACAATACAAAAATTATTAGAACATTTAGATTGTCATATAGAAAATCAACGAGCATCTCGTCGACAAATATCACGATGTATACTTATTAATCATAAATTATTTTCACAACAATCAATATCTCAACGTCAAATTTATATTGATAAATATCCGATATTTAATCGTGTCAATGAACTTGATGATAATGTTGATCGTTTATTTGCTATTTATGATTATATGAGTCAATTAAATAAAACTCAACCAACTATGTATGATTTTCTAATGATAACAACTATGAATACATTTTTGACAACACAATTTGGAAAATATATTCCAATAAAATGTTCATTTCTTCTTGGTACAGCACCTGATTATTCAACATTCTATGGTAAAACAGATCAAATTATTCAATTTGTTCATACTCTTCTATATACATTAAAAGAATCTAATGGAAATCAAAGCTATGTTTTAATTGATTTTCAATCAACAATAGAAAAATTAAAAACACAATTATTATTTATTGAAGGTCAAGTTGATATATCATGTGATTCAAAAAAAACTACATACCGAACATCAATATATCATCTAAAATGTTATGCACATTCAACAAGTTTATTTTCAGAAAGAATGTTTCGTGAAAAAGCATATGATGGTTATGAAAAAGAACCATTTAATATTTATATAGCACGAGAATATGCAACATTAATGGCTCTTCAATCAAAAGTTATGTCACTTGATGATTTACACTTATTAGCCGTTAATGTAACACGTCGGGAAGTTTACACATAGGTTGATATGTAGAATAAAAATTTAGAATTTTTTTTTGCGTATTGTTTCATTGATACGTGAGTATGTGAATGAATCTTATATATATTTTTTTTTAAGAAAATAATACCTCGAATATTTCAGTAACAAAAAAGAAAGTATAGTCCAAAGATAATTTTATAATAAAATACTTAAACGTTTTACAGGCAGAAAGAAAGAGATAAATAAGATCTCATAATTTAGAAATATCTATAGAACAATAATCCTCATTAATAACATTTGAAATTTGTATTCCTCATAGCATTATCACATCTAATATAACGTAATTTTTATTATCACAAGAAACTAAAACGATCAAAACAAAAGAAAAATATTGAAAAAATGTCATTCTATGCACTACAAATTGATTAAATACGAGAATTTTATTAGGCATAATATTAAGTCTAAAATGAATTTAACCATAAGTCAGTTTCATAATTTTTAGAATATCTCAAAGAACTTTAGTTAGAACTAGAGCTGTAATCTTGAAATATTCGATTGTCAAAAAAAAACGATCATAAGTCACTTGCAAGATCTGTACATCAATTTTTTCCTTTAAAACTCAATCATTTCAGAAGGAAATGTTTGATTTGAGCAAAATTCTTTAGAAGTAGAATATTATCGAGTAACATGGTAATGGAGAATTCATAGATTCAATTCTTTTGTCGAGTAATCAATTGCTCGATAAAATTTCCACAACACTGAAAATCTTCGATCAAACTTTTAAAAAAAAAAGTCATGATTTTTTCCCAACAGCTATTTTCGACGAAAACATAGAAGCCACGAATTATTCGTTATACCATTACTCAGTAACTGATAACGTAACGATTCCATGTTGTCCCTAAATTTTTTATACTATGTTAGGAAATGATGAGAACTATTTCAAAAAAAATCAAATCGAAATTTCATAATAACTTGTTAGATAGTTTTCGTGTAAACATATATATATAAACACGAATATTTACCATCATTATTTAGGTTATATTTTTTTTTTCTAGTAATTTTTAAATTAGTTTCAGATATAGTTTGATGATATCCATTTATATGCAGTATCGTAGAATCATTTTCAAACATAGCAAGACTGCTATGTTCGATATCCTCATCTTCATTTGATAATTTTCGCTTTAATGTTTGTTTTATTTCTTTATTAATTTTATCATCAATAATAATATATTCATCTTTATTTTTTTATTGTATTTGTATGTTCAAGCATGAATTTGACTTTCATATGTTGTATAGATTTTCTATTTAAAATTTCATTTATATTATCAAAATCTTCATCACATAATAAAATTATTTCATGAATTAATTTATATTGATCTAGTGTTTTTGACATTTTTTCATCATTGTTTTCATCATCAGCTGAAATTAATATTCGATTACTATTATCATTAATATAAACATCTGGTTTATTCATTTTTAAATTTTTGAACATAATAAACACATGATGAACATGTTGTCATGCTTGCACATTATCAAATGCATTTGATAATAAGATCATATTGTTTATAGAATGATATATCAAAACTTGGATCTGTTATTATATCATCATGAAACGGTTCAATGTGAATGGATGGACAAAGACAACAAATATACTATCACATGCGATGATAGCTTTTGATTGATTAATATACTCACGACGAAATAAAAAATGGACAATTTAAATTTGATACTTCAATTGTATTAAGATCAATAACACCAATAGATCGAAAACGACATAAAACTAAAGATTTTAATAATTCATATTCAATACCACTAGCACCAACAATAAGTACAGAACTTTCTTCAGGTAGTTTACCTATTGAATGACTTGAAATATTTAAACTATTAACAGTCGATGATGAATAAATCAAGTGTCATAGTCATCTAATGAAATACAAAACTAAATTTTTTGATATGATAGAATGATACAGTAAACTCAAAATAGAAATGGATATAGCAGAGAGTCTTGAGCTAATTTCGTATTGATATGAAGTTTTGATGAAAGATGACATCGATTTTTCAAAAAAAACAAAAAGCTACTCATTTATTTGCTACATGTTACCTAATCAAAAAAATCAACTTAATTCTATTGATTATATAGAAGTTTACTATGTTTTTATTCTTATAAGAAAAGTAACTGTGTACGAAAACTATATTTATAATTTTAAATTATCACTTATAAATTAAACTTTGAAAGACCACAATAATATATATAGAATAAAATTCTCTTCACTAAAACTATTGTTTTGTTGGAAAAAAGAATAATTTCAATGTGTTTTAGAACTTCTTCTATATAATTGCACAAAAATAATTTATAATTATATTCACACAAGAAACATAGCATTTAACTATTATATATAATAGTTCATTAATTTTGTAAAAACATAATTCTATCCGTTTAATCGAGTCACAAAATTCAGAAACTGATTAATTGATAAACACAAAAAATAACTGTAAACATGCTTGATTGTGTGACATATGAAATGAACCAATGAAAAAATCTACCAAATAGTTAGATCACGTGTCTGAAACACGTGTACATACGGAAAAATAATTGGCGTACGTACGTTTTTTCTCGGCAAGTAGAATCTTACGACAAAAATCTTTAATTATTCAGTTCTGTTCATTTTTTGATGACGTTCAACATTATGTTTCATTAGGTATTTATATAGTTACAACATGTCATTTTTCTTATTATCCTACTTAACCTATATTGTCAGGGATAGCTTATTATTAAAACATTAGATTTGACATGAGCTTGTGATAATTAAATGATCCATAGAAAATTTCTATCTTCACTGTTAAAGTTACAATTAAAGATACATTTCATTTTGTTTTCTAAATAATATGTATAATGTTGATCTTGTTAAAAAATAATTCAAGAAAGTCGTAAAAGAAAAGAAAAGTCCCATAAGAAAAAAAAGAGTCATACAAAGTGAATAACTGAAGTTGCAAAAGAAGTCAAAAGTTTACATTTCCGCCGATGACTGAAAATCACTAGTTATAACCTAAAAAAAACTACCAAAATTTTGTACTACATTCATGAAATATTTTTTTTATGCATCCCGTTCATCTTGAGACACTCGCGTGGTTTCTAGCGAACCAGCATATTTCAATTAATCATACAACTTTCTCAATTTCTTTCCATAGAAAAGAAGCTTTTCATTATAACTTCTTTGCAATAAGTATAAATTATTGAATTTAATTTACAAAAAAAAAGAAGATTATCAAATTATTACAAAAAAACTCATTTTTCATACTTCATCAAACATTATTGATGTTAGACTATAAAAGATTAATTGTTCTTTTTAAAAAAGCAAGATAAGAGATGTTCAAAGTAAATATTTAACAATTCAAATATCGTGTATTTATCTGCACTCAATATGTGTTGTTATAGTTCAAATCTCTTGAAAATAAAAAACATGTACATGAACCTTCAATTTAATATAATATGCTTTTTCACACAAAACGTCACCACATTAACAAAAAACATAAATGTCAACACCAAGTTTTTTTTTTTTTGCTAAATTCACTACAATTAGAACTCATTTTCACAGTTGAATAACGTCAATTCTATTAAGAAAAAAAACGATACACATTAAAAACATAATCGACTAATAATTTACGTGCCAAAAAAAAAACGAAGGGAAGATCAAATGAAAGAAAAATTGTCCATAAAAAATTAAGTCTGCATGTGTATGACGATATTCACATCAATAAATTGTATCGTATATTTATCTTTTTTTACATAAATATAGAGACGATGATTTATTAAGTTCGAAATCATTATAGACAGTTAATCACGTTGAAAATAAAAAAAACAACAAAATTTTGCTTTTAAAATTCCCATTGTGTTGCTTGTCGACTATTATGACATGTTGCTTGTATACTTCCATTTTGTTCTGCTCGTAAATACATTCCATTTGGAGCTTTAATAATAACTCGAGAATGTGACGAACATAGTTCTAATGCAAATTTCGATGGTTCACATCCATTGACACTGATACTTAAATCATTTAAAATTTCCCAATAAAGTCCATCAGATCCTATTGAAAAAAACAAAACAATGAAAACAAAAAAAAAACCGATTTCATAGATAATATTTAATTTTTCAAACCTTTAAGATAAACAATTCCTTCACAATGTGTTCGATCATCTGGTTCTTCTAATGTAAATAATGTAAATAAAGATTTATTACATTCAAGTATACGTGATTGTTTGTTTCGATAACCAATATGACCAAAATCACATTTAAATACACAAAATGGACGATTAATAAATTTTATTAAAAAATATGCATCATTTGAACTTATTTGATCATTCATAACACGCATATGTCCATTATCATGTGGAACAATAAATTTTCCATTGAATGCTTGAAATGTTATATGTCCATGACCTGTTGATTGAATTTGAAAACTTGTTTCAAGAGATCTAAATTTGATTTAAAAAAAAAAGAACTGATGATCATCATAATATGAATTATATATTTTACCTTTTATCTGCTGTTGCTTGTACATTAAAACCTTCTATTTTCCAATATTTATTATCATATGTTCGTATATGATAAGCATGAAAATCTTCATCATCATATTCAAGTTGAAATATACTACTATGATCACGTTCATATTGATTAGCTGATAAATCAATACCTTGTTTTGTTGAAACAAGTTTTCCATTAGGTGCAACTAAACATATTTGTAATTTACTTTCTTCTAACAGAAATTGTTCATCTTTTCCAACTATTTTATTTCTTGTCATTAATATTCCTAATGGACCAATAGCTGTTAAATAGCATTGATCACAATCTTTAAATGTTAAATATCCTTTATAAAGTTCAATTGTAAATAATGTTTCATTTGTTTGGTTTGTTGTAAGTTTTCCATCTTTATGAACATAAAAACCATTACTTGATCGTATACAATAATGATCATTAAGATATTCAACAGCAACTATTGCATCACTACCCCATGGAATTATTTCATCAACATGAATTTCATCGTCATCTAATTTAGCATAACGTTTACGAAGAACATGTTTTAAATTAATCTAAAAAAAAAATCAAAATCAAAAATTGATTGAAAGAAAAAGAAAAAAAAAATACAAAAATGCAATAGTTTACTTGTGGATGAACCGCTAAATGAGGTGACCACCATTCTGGTGTTTTACTGAAACAATGAAGTTGATCATTATCTCCACCGAAATACAACCCATATGTAAGAGATTTAAATGCCCATTGACCATTCCGATTATATTCAAGTTGAAAATGACAATCATCATTTATTTCATTTGAATCACATTTTAAGCGACCATATTTATCTGTGGACAAATAATGATTTAATGATGATTGGAGATAAACACAATCATTTTGACAATTATAAATAATTGTCCATATCTGTTTCCGTTTTAGAGATGTACCAGCTGGAAAGAAGATGTTTGAATAATATTGAAGAAAAAATTTTAAAAATACATACTTGCATTGATTTTACAACCAAATGTTTCTGATGTTAAATATTTTCCTTTAGAATTTCTTAAACCTACTAACCAACTTGATTTTTCTATTGTTGTATTATTCAATGATATAGATGTATTATGATGATGATGATGACTGTCGCCATTTTTTATAGATTTTTGATAATGATCATCTTGGTTAATAGAAGATTTTTTTAGTACTGACTGTGATGGATGATCTATTGTTGGTGGAATAAGTGATGGAGGTAACTTGACTGATGACTTTGGTCTTAATTGAAAATAAATATTATTTATCATAATTTATTATTTAAATAAAATGAGACCTGAGAGCTGAATGCATATTGAATATTGTACTTAATCAATAATCATCTTGTTTAGTCAATATATTTTGTCATATATCTATCTATTGAAAATGACAAAATAGAATTCTCTTATTTGCTCTCTGTTTTATTTCTTTTTTCTCTCTCTCTCTCTCTCTCTCTCTCTCGCTTTGTTCGCTCCTCCCGCTTTTGTGAGCCATAGTATAAGTTCATCAACATTCTCATTTATTGTATTCGATGACAAGAGCGAAATTCTTTTATTCATTTCTTTCTTTCTCTCATTCGCACATGTGTGCGTGACCGTTGGACTGAGTATCATAATTAGCAGACAAAAAAAAAGAGAATAAATTTTGAAAGTATTAGTTTTCGTTTAATGAGTCATGGAATGACAAAGCAAATGATTTGAATTATTTGACCTTACAATTGTGATCGATCATCTTTTATTAAAGAACGCAACCTTATAACTGTTCGTTGATATCGATAAGAGAGAAAAAATGATATTTTCAAGGTCAGAAAAAGAGCAACGGACGTGTCCGAGACTAAGGACAACCGATTGACACTATAACCATCTGTGTCTCTATTGTCACATATTGGCTTATTTCTTTTTCAAACATACAAAGCTTGAATATGTGACTATTATGAAATAGCATATGATGCTTGTCATAGAGAACGATCAATGTAACATCCAGCTGATCCATTTCATTAAATGCACATGTAAAATAAATAAAATGAGAGCCGTAAAGTCATTGTTACATCATCATTTCAATCAAGATGTTTCATCAATTGAAATTTGTGCATTTAGCTAAAAGGACGACGGCACATAAGAATCCATTTTGTTTCCTTTTGATCTTCAAGGTTCACATTAATAGAGTAATATTTAGAATAAAAGACCATGAGTACATGATCAATTTCACGTTAAAATCAAAGATTTTGATTTAATCATAACTGTGAATAGGACCTGTCTTCACAGCATAATAAAAGAGCAGTTAATGATTAATACTGGTCAGCAATATGAGCATTCGTGTTACAGAAAAAAAAAATATTTGTGAAGAGTGATTTCAAGATATTCTAATAGCTCTTTGTTCAGGCTATATTTTTATAATACATAGAATCATTCGTTTTAAAATAATCTTTTGAATATACTAGACCGTATAGAAATCTGTCATTGCTTACATATTGAATTTGGTATACATTTGTCCATTCCGATTATCGTTTAATTATTATGTTAATGAAACTTCCTTCCCATTGAGTTTACTTTGTATTCGATAGAATTTTTCAAGTGTTACAAAACGAACTACTTTGTACAAACTAAAAACGTGGTTTACATGAGAAAACTCCTAGATCAATATTTGTGAGGATTGATATTCAACTTTTTTGATTGGTACTTGATAATTTTCAAGCAGAACAATACCCATTTTTTTTTGCAACTTTAGAACTTACTTTTCATTAATACAATCACTTTTAAATTAAAATTCATTTTTTCACATATTTCTGACGAAATTCAGGAATGAAAATTAGACTAGAAAAAAAGTCGAAGAAAACGTTTGAAACATATATGAGTTGAATGAAGTTTCTATGCTGTTTTCAAATATAATATTTGTTTGAAACGACATGGATATTGTTTTGCTTGAAAATTATCAAGTACCAATCAAAAAGTTGAGAATCGGTCCTCACAAATATTGGTCCAAGAGTTTTCTTATGTGAACTACTTTTTTAGTTCGTACAAAGCAGTTCGTTTTGTAACACTTGAAAAATCTATCGAATACAAAGTAAACTCAATGGGAAGGAAGTTCCATTAACATAATAATTAAACGATAATCGGAATGGACACATGTATACCAAATTCAATATATAAGCAATGACAGATTTTTATACGGTCTAGTATATTCAAAGGATTATTTTAAAACGAATGATTCTATGCATTATAAAAGTGTAGCCCGAACAAAAAGCTGTTAGAATAACTCCGAATGCCTCTTAAGCTTTATTTATTTTCTCCTATAGACTACATTATAACCACCATGATACCTTTTCCATTCAATGTTATTACGCCTAACAAGATAAAAATATTGGGTTGGTAAGAAATTTTTGTCGTTTTTTTTCGTAACTTCGTAGAACAGTCAAGAAAGTTCTAGAAGTTTTCATATTAAGGGTATATAATGGGAGTGTAAATATCTTTTGAACAACAATAAAACTATGGATATACAGGGTGTCCCAGAAGTAAGGGAACAAGAAGGGTATTCGCTAAAATTGAACGAAAAATTGTTTATGATAGTTTGCGTACTTTTTATTGATGTAGAGAGCTGAAATTTTCAGAAATAAAAGATCTTGGCTAGATACAGGTGTGATAAAAATTTCAGCTCTCTACATCAATAAAAAGTACGCAAACTATCATAAACAATTTTTCGTTCAATTTTAGCGGATACCCTTCTTGTTCCCTTACTTCTGAGACACCGTGTATATCCATAGTTTTATTGTTGTTCGAAAGATATTTACACTCCCTTTATATACTCTTAGCATGGAAACTTCTAGAACTTTCTTGACTGTTCTACGAAGTTACGAAAAAAAACGACAAAAATTTCTTACCAACTCAATAGTATTGAGTGTAACGAAAAGAGAATTAATTCAATATGTATATGAATCATTGACGTCATTATCAAGTTGGAAAAAACCTTTAAAAAGAAAGTTCGTGAAGAAGAAAAATAAAGAATTAAAGTGTTTGTTCTCTTCTGCTTTATTTCTATAGAATGTGTACGTGCTGATTCCTACTAACTGGCAGCAACTTGTAAATTGCGTCTATGAATAAAAAACTGACGGACAATTGTTTGTATACTACTGTTCAAACGTTTTTTTAGTAATCAACTAATACGCAGAATCGTCGTTGCCTAGTTGACTATTGTAAATCATGTCATTATCAAGGGAAAACGAACAAATACAAAGTACGTGAATTTATTTTATAGTGGACAAAAGGAAATTTTTTGAACTAATTATTCGGAATTCATGAATTTTTGTATGTGTTTTTCAAGAAGAAATAATGAATGGCGACTTTGACCGATGCCTAAATGTAATCATTTTTCGAACTAAGCTCATAACATAACAAACTATTATGTTTTATTAGGACTTGGATGGGTTTCTCACTAGACGATCGCAAACACGACTGAGTACAATCTCACGATCAAATACTTTCACAGTAGAGAGGAAAAAAATCTCTTAATCGATAAGATAACTTATGATTAAAAATTATGTATATAGGACATATACGCGGCACCTGTTGACAACCAACAACCAATACTCTATCAGACATCCATAGTTAATGATTTGGTACGTTTCACAACTGTACTGACCCGGTTTAGATCTTATTTTATTTTATTTTTCATACAGGACGATCTTCTTCGGGATACAGATTTTACTTTTACAATAGTAAAGTCAACTGAAAAATCCTATTTTATATTATTATCAGTTTCTCGCTTTTTTATAGACACAATCGAATGCACCGGAAAATAATAGGTTGTAATTAAATATTCATTTACACGCAAAAAAAAGAGTACTTAAAAAAATTCTATTTCAGTACTAAACCAGCAATGTTTAGTTGTCAATATAAATTGCAAAGTGATCTTGCTGGTGCTGGCTTTTTTGATCAATCGAAATTCTGTGATAAGTTGAGGGCCGAAATAAAAGAAACTTATTCAGTTGAAACAACAATCACGAAGGCGAGAGATAAATTGGATCTGGAAAATAGCACATATATTATCGACTTTAAAAGTACAGATCAAGATAAAAATCAACAGGCATTAGAATCATTACAAGCTCTTCTTAAAAAAACAGAAATAAAAGTAGTCGATGATCAATCAGGTAATCGACTCATTTTTAAATTTTCCATTCAAACATTTCTAGATTAAAAATTTTGTAACTTCACAATTACAATTCTAGAAAAGTGAAATATAAGCATAACTAAAAGTCGTATTGAAACAAATTTTCAATAAAAAAAAGATGACTCTAAGATTTTATTTATACACAGGAGTGTCCTGAAGGACCATCGAGAGAATGATCCCTCCGATCTTGGAAAATTTTCGTTTTTCTCAAGTAGAGTTACAAGATTTTATGGGTCTTGTTCATCAATTCTCAAAAAACGCTCAACCTCCATACTCAAAACTCGGTCAAGTTTATTAGAAATATTCCAATCTGTCATCTGAGTCATCGTCTTCCTGTCATAATTCTAGCTGTCTCGAATCACTTCTATTGATATAATATGTGTTGATTCAAATTTAGTGAAGGAAAACTCAATGCCTTGTGCTTTTTGATTTTGATTTACCAGAATAGTTTATTAAACAGAAAATATTTATAACAATTTATTTTGACATAGGATCTTGGGTAAAGTACCGAGATTGTACCCGAATTATTCAAACATATAGTGATCAGAATGAGTACCTTCACATTCTATGCAGCTATGAAACAATTGGTCTATTGATAACTTATTTCAATAAAGACAAATCAACTGTATTTCACGATTTATGTACTACTAATGCTACACTCGACAAAATTATCAAAAACTTTATTTTACTTGATATTTCACTGCCTTCTACCTCTGATCTAACAACAACTAATAAAAGTCATTTAGCACAAGATATTCTAAAGCTAGAAAATCAAATACGACCTCAAAATATATTAATAATACTTGAACAACGATGCATTCATTTGTTTGGTTTGACGGATACTATCAAAGCAATAGAAAAACAAATAGAAGAAATTACAACAAAATATGCATCAAGTACGGTTAAACTTAATTTAGAATCGAAACAAGTAATGATAATCTATATTTTTTTTTCTTAAGAAATCGAAAGACATATTTGTTTTATATAGATAAACTTTTTATTGGAAATCTGTTATGATGAACTGAAAACACTTGAAACTAATTATAATGATACAACAATTATTGAGACTTTGACAAATGGAGAATTAACAGCTCCAAGTTATGTTCATGATAGAATAGAATCCGAAATAATGGCATTAGCTTCATTATGTACATCAATTGATTATGAAATTCAAGAAGAAGCTTTTGGTTTAAAAGCACACAACGAATGTGAGAGTCTGAAAAATATTGGCCATCAATGCAAATGTCAAATTGAAATTGAAATAGAAACTACAAATAAGATTTGTGAAATACCCAAAGCTTTAACACAAGATCATATGTCAAATAAATTAACAGCAGCAGCCATAGAAATACACAAGAATGATCTAGCTGAACAAAAAGTAATGAAACTATAAATTATAAGAAAACTATATAAACTATTCATTAATTGAATTTATTTAGGTCGATCTTGTTGTTATTTGTTCGACGTCAATGTATCTACGTGATAATATTCTTAAACAAGCTGGACAATCAGTTAACAAAGAATACGAAGAAGCTGCAAAGATATCATCATCAGAACCTTTCGAAACCAATTCAGGAAATTTACCATGTCGAAAACTTTTATTTTTACCATGGGAAATAAATCAAACAAGTCAAGAAGCTTTTTATCAATCAATTCGAAATTTTGTTAGTAAAGCTGTTCAACATGCTATCAAACTTCATCATACATCAATTGCATTTCCATCAATTGGTTGTGGAAAATTAAATGTTGATAAAAATATTGTTGCCAATGAAATGTTAACTGAAGCTCAAACACAATTATTATCAGCTAATGTTATATTACAAATAAACTTTGTTATTTTACCTGAGCAAATTGATGTTTTTGAAGCATTTCAAGCGAAACTCAAAAATCTTCAAGGAGGCCATGTAGAAACAAAAGATATTCAAATTCAATATAGCTTTACAAGTAAATATAACATAAAAATTAATTAAAATATATCTTTTTCTTTTCTTTTGTTTAATTATTTATCTAGAACTTAAAATTACAATTACATCTAATAGTGTTGAAAAGCAAGAGAAATGTAAAAAAGCTTTAAATAATTATATACAACAATCAATTTCAGTTCGTGAACATCTTAATCAACATGTACTTAAAAAATGGACACAACCTGCTATTAATGCATTCTATAAATATTGTTTAGATCGATATGTGGTACCTAACATGGATATTCTTATTGGCTACTTTAAAATATTTGGTTCCAAAGAATCAGTTACTGAAGCGGAAAATGAATATTATCGAGAACAAGTTAAACAAAGTGAGCAAGCTCGTTTAAATGCCATTGCTCGAGATATTATTTGGGCATTTAAAATAGATGATAAAAATTGGATAAAATATGCACCTGAATTAAATGCTCATATTGAAGATGCATATTCATCTAAATTACCAACAGTAAGTATTCATGCGATATATGTAACAAAATATATCATTCTCTTATTATCAGTATAATACTTTGTAAGCTTATACTAGATATGCAATCTAGTTAAAAAATTTAGTTTAAACTATCAACTAATATAGATCTCTATCACTTTTCGAAGTCTGCTGGAATATGAAGAACATCTTATTTAGAAGAAAAATGTTTGTTCTACAAAATTCATTCATTATGGCTCCTCCGCCACAAGTGATAATTATCAGCCGTATGTCATGATATTTTCTAGAGATATTCAAGAAACAAGGTTAAAAAACTATCTTATTTGACAAACCGAAATTCTATGTTGCATCTCATTCTATTGTTTTGTTTATAGCCGAGTATAATCTTTTATTGAATACTGTTTTTTTTTTATATTTCATCTAGTACTTGCGGAAGCATGAGCATATTGAAACGAGGATAAAATTAGTTAGAAAGTTATTTATATTAATAGAAAACCTTAAATCTCTATTGATGTCAAAATATTCCATACATCATTCAATCCATCACCATGATCTCCTCTACCTATCTTTTCCTATGCTATAGAAGAAAAGGCGAAGATATTCAGAATATTTCTATTTGAAACATAAGAAAGCTCACATAAAAAAAATTTGTTTTCCTTTATAATCTATTTGAAGATCGCTAATTAAAACTATTGAATAATTATGATAATTAAAAAACACTAACTACAGTGGAAGTTTTTTAACATCTGTATTCGTTCGAATGAAATTTTTTACGTTTTAACGAATTTTTCAAATTTTCTGCAACTGGTTTCATAGTAAATCTGTGAAAATATTTTTGCTGTTCAATAATTTATTATTCCTAGAAAATACAGACGATTGAAAGTTTTCATTATTTATCATTTAAAAACAGAGCATATATATATATAGAGTATAAAAATAAACGAGGACAGGTACCACGATTTCTAATATTGCTAATTAATTTGATTGAATACAATAAACAAATATTTTTATAGTTTCAGTATACCGACGATAAATCTGTAGAATATGTTATTAATTTTGAACATACCATTGAAACATGTGTAAGCAATCAACAACAACGTCAAATTATTCGCCATGCTGGTTTTGATTTACCAGAATATTGGCAGGTACAAAAAGAGAGTATTGCACAATTTACAGTACAAGAAAATTCAATTGAATACAAAGAAATTCGTGCTTTATTTGACAAAACAATGTCTAATAAATATAACACAATACTTCGCATAGATCGTATTCAAAATAAACAATGGTATATGCAATACAATTCATACAAAAGTTTTTCACCACAGAAAAATACAGAAAAAGAATTATTTCATGGCTGTCCAAAAGATTCAACTGAACTGATTATTAATTCATTTTTTAATCGATCATTCGCTGGTATTAATGGTCTGTTCGATCTATTTTTAATGAATTCTATATGAAAATAATGAGTTTTTTTAAGGTACTGCCTATGGACAAGGAGCTTATTTTTCAGCGAAAGCTTCCTACAGTCATGGATATACGAAGGCTAATACACTGAATGGTGAACGGTATATGTTTGTGGCATATGTATTAGTAGGCTATAGCATTCAAGGAAATACTAACATGAAAACACCGCCTCCAGGTTTTGATTCGACTACAGATGGAGATCATATTTTTGTTACATATCGTGATGATCAAGCTTATGCAGCATATCTTATTGTTTATCAATGAACGTTTTGTAAATTGTCGGTGTTTTTTTTTGTAATTAACTAAGGTCTTTCTTTGATTTGTGATAATTTTTATATGCAACAATCAAGATATATTGAATTTTTTTCATATTTCTTAACAATAATTTTTTTTTTATTTAATTTCCTTAAATAACAAAAGGAATAACAACGAGTTATTGCATAAACAAAAAAAAACAATAACAAATTTAACTAAAAATCATCCATATCTTCACTTATTTTATTTGTTGGTTTTTTTCTTCGATTTTTCTTTGCATTTTCAATTGCTTTCATTCGTTTCTTTTTTCCTAATCCTAAACGTTTCGTTTGTTTAAGACGTTTTTTTCGATAAATTATTTCTGGTTGATTAATAGCTAAAACAGCTAATTTTTGTTTACGTTCTAAACGTTTTGTTCGTCGTTGTTTAGCGATATCAGCATAAATACTTGTAATCAAATGTATATCACAATGACGTTTAAATACATCAAATACATCTTGCGCGAGTGTTTTTAATGGTAAATTTATTGTTGTTTCATCACGTTCAATTTCACGTTCAATAACAGTTAAAAATGATTTTAAATATGATGTCAAATATGATGATAAATCAAGTACAAGTGCAGCCATCCATTTAAGAATTGATGAACGACGTGTTATTTCAGTAGGATGTTTCGTTGATTCAAATGTTGTTAAACGACAACAACGTTTAACAACTAATTCAAAATAATTTGAATTAGATAAAATAAGAAGTTTTGATAAATAAATAAGATTTTTTATGATTTGTAAACAAAATTCTTCTGTTAAATCTGATGGTTTTAATTGTGAACATGCACAAAAACATAAACGTTGAATTTTAACTAAAGGTGAAATTGATGAATCCAATGTTGTTATATAATGAATAAATAATGGTTCATGATTAAGATTTGATTGAGCTGATTTTTTCAAACGTTTACGACTAGAACCATTTTCTATTATTGTTGTAGAATTCGAACTAAATACATATTAAATTAGATATAAATTCAATTAAAATGTTATGTTCACTTTTCTTTAAACTTAAGAAAAAATTTGTATCGATTGTATTCTTTCAATTTGATGGTCAAAGTAGATATTCATGAAAAATAATTTTATAAAATCAATATGATTATATAATCTATAATGCACAAGTTTTTGACACAAAAATATTCTAATTTTATTTTTAGGATCAAATAGAACAACTATAAAGGAATTTTATGAATCAGTCCATAGTTTGTATCGTGAAACAACTTCCATTCAATATTATTGTAATGCACTGAATTCTCTACAAAATGAGACATTACCATAAGCAGAATCTCATCTATGCGTTTTCTATGGAAATCAACATTGATTAGAAAAATGCTGCATCAAAAACTATTTCTAAAACAATACAAAAATTTAAAAATCTGTCGTATAAAAGTAAATAGTATTTCAAAAATGCCCTAGAAGTGATAGAACTCATATGAATAGAACAGAAATGCTAGACAATAAATTGATAGTAGATGTCATCATTTATCGAAGACCCAAGACAATACTATCGAAGTAGTATGTCTAACACTACAGAAAGAGAGAAGATAAATGAGAGTATAATACGAATTTTAGTTTTAATATATATTTAAAATAGTAGATCCATGATCTGTAAGATTCTTTAGTAGAAAGTTTCCTTCATTGACTACTTTCTAGTGATGATACTACAACGGACATGCTGAAGTCAGTTACCAACTAAAGTATATAAATGTGCTCCCCGTCCCGATGAACTTGGAAAAAAAAACATTTTAGTCTAAACGCTTTTTTTCTTTTTAAATTTAATTTACCTATTATCTTCTTTTGGTAGATATTTTTTCATATGTAGAACAATATCTTCTGGTTTATTTCTTTCAAATAGAAGACCAAAAAATTGTGTTGATAAATATCGAACCCATATATGTGGATGAAGTAAACATTTTTCATCAATTAATTTTAATAATTTTAACCATATTGATCTTAATTGTAAAATTTCTAATGAATTTGAACAATATTTAATAATATAAACTAATACATTGATTAAATGATAAATATATTGATCATTAAATTTTTGTTGTTCATTATTATCATTATCATCAATATCATCATGTTGAATATTATTTAATTCTCGTTCAATAAAATTAAATATATCATCTAAATATTGATCAAATTGTTCATGTTCAATTTCAATAAATAGAATAAATAATTGAAGTGCTAAACAACGATGTTCAATTTTATCATTAATCCAAATAAAAACAATATTTTTAAAAATATCATTTCGATGTTGTTCATCTATTTTTTCTAATAATAAATGTAAATTTAATTGAAAATATTTTTTACATTCATTATTTATTTCATTATAATAATGACATGATAATGGAAGAAAAAAATAAGCAGCATAATCATTTAAACGTTGTTTTGTTAAATCATTAAATAAATTATTTAGAAATATTAATACTGATAAACGACCATTATAATCTTCATAATCAAGTTGAAGAAGAAAAAAATCAAAATATGATTTTAATTTTGTTTTTGTATGTTCATAAGAAAATAAATATATATGAAATAAATCACGACATGTTGTACGTATATGATCATAAGGTGATTGAATTATCATAAATATTATACGAGAACGTAAAAGATTATCAAGTTGTGTACGAAGATTTTTATCATTTGATATTATTGATACAGAATGACGCATTATTGAACGAAGAAGAAGAAAAGCACTTGTTTGACGATGAATATTAAGTAAATCAGATTCAATATAAGTAAATAAACATTGATACTCTTCAGATGTTAATGAAATATTATCATTAATTGAACGTTGAACAAATGTACCAAGAATTTTATAACAAAGTGTTAATAAATCATTCAAATCATTGGAACCAGCTACGGATGAATATATTTTTAATAAATCGAATACCTAAAAAGTGAAATTTATTAAATTTTATTTTCACAAACGTTATATTGATAATTTTCGAAAATGGAAGGGATTACAATTTGACAGACAATCAGCTAATATTTTTTCAGACACAGCATAAAATTTAGGAGAGACTAGAACTTCAGAGTACATCACTTATTGAAGTTCATGTTCGCAAAAATAAAATAAATGAGAGTTAAAAGAATTTCTATTTTTACAGCAGATACTCTGAAGCTAAATCTTAGGAGTTTCTCTGTTTTCTGAGATGATTCGATAGTTATATGATTAGAAAGAAGATTATATCATAATTAATTCTTTAAATGTGAATGTATTTAAATAAATAGATACTTAAAATATTTTTTAATTTCGAATCTTAGAAGAAAAAAAAGAATATTATATCTGATCATGTATTAATTATTGAAATATTTGATTAAATTACTTTTTTATACATATTAGTAATTCGTTGTTGATTTAATGATGGTAATGAATATTCTAAAATTGATGATAAATTTCTAAGTGAAGAAACAATAACATCTGTATATTGTGAATTTAAACATATTTCAATATGAATAATAAATGGATCAATCATAGATAAAAATTTTTGATCATCATTATTTTTATGTTTTTTAATAAGTTTATGAAGTAAATTAAGTGTCCATGCAATTAAACAATGAATATTTGTTTTTTTTTCATGTTTAATAGCTTGTGCAACACGTGCATGACCACGTTTAGGTTCAGCTGGTATTAAATAATATTTATTTCGTTCGTCTTTAATTAAATTTAATGTTTTATTATTTTCATTATTAGTAATTTGTTCATTAAAATTATTTTCTTCTGTTTTTGTTAATAAATGATGAATAAAAATAAATAAAATTTCAATTGATAAATAATTATTATTAATTAAACCAGTTTGAAAACGTTGTAAACATTTTTCACATTTTGATATTTGTCTTGAATCATTATATAATAATAATTGTTGACGTAATGGTTCAATACATATTAAAAGTTCATTATTTGAATGTATTAAACGACCAAGTAATTCCATAACATTTATTGTTTTATTTGTTTTAGCTTCAGGAATATTCGATGGTTTATATGTTGAATTTTCATGTTCATTTGCTTTTGATGATTCAGTTTTTTCAAGATTAAATAAATCATCAATAAATAAATTTGCTATTATTTTAATAGCTGAATCAATATTAAAATCATATGTTAATGATGATATATGAATAAGTATTGTATGTATTGTATGTAATAAAACAAAATGTTGATAACCACGTTGTAAACCAGATATTAATTCTTCAATTATAAATTTAAAATAACGTTTACCAAGTATTATTATACATTTACAAAGACAATCACGTGCTTGATCACGTATTGAATAAAGACGTGAACGAAGTAATGTTAATAAATGAAGTAAAATTGTTGATATATGTTGTTCAATAAAATCATTTGAAAATATTCTTATTAATTTTGTTGCTATTAATGAACATGTTATTGTTAAAAGAACAGCTTGTTGTCGTTGATCATCAATAGTTGCATTTTTTGTTGATATACCATTTGTTGTTAGACTATCGATAGAAAATGAATTTTGACTTAATAAATCAAGAATCATTGGTAATAAACGTTGTTGAATTGTTCGACTAATACGTTCACCTAGAATAAAATAATATATAAATTTTTATTTTAAAAATTATAATTAGATCCGTCGATTTTATTCAGAAGAACTTGAGTTATTGATCGACTATATGAAATATTATAAAAACTTTCTTGATTAGTTACTATTATGTTATTGAATGAATATAAATCAATATAGAAACTTTTAGCAACATTTCTTTTCCATAGTTTTATACATCTCTAATCAGAGCTAATGCGTTCCAGAGATCTTTGTTATTACTAGTTTGTAAATCTTTAGATGAAATTGTTATCTCTCTTTTTTTTTCTTATAAACTAAAAAAAGTTGTTTAATTACTTTCAGAATTCTTCTCATTGTTATCTAATTGAAAATGAAATGCATCAATAATAGCCGATATTGTTTTAGTTAAACATCGTTTTTGAATTAAATTTAATGTTTG